TCACTGGTTCGATCCCCGGCCACCAGTGAGGGTCCCACATGGTGTGCAGACCTCTCCTGCCGTGCCCGCTGCTCCCCTCAGAAGTGTATTTTGTTCATTCTGTTCTGTTCTGTTCCCCACTCTGGCTCTGGTGAATTCTCTCACCCTCCCGCACTTCTGATTGTACCCAGTGCTTGTATAAATAAATAAATAAATTAAAATCTTAAAAAAAAAAGATACAGAGTAGCAGTCTGGATTAATAAACAAAATCCATCCTTCTGCTGTCTCCAGGAAATACATTTACCACAAAAGATAAACATAGACTGAAAGTAAAAGGTTGGAAAACAATCCTACAAGCAAATGGACCAAAAGGGAAGGCAGGAACAGCCATACTTATAGCAAATGAAATAGACTTCAAATTAAAAAAAGTAAAAAGAGACATAGATGGACACTACATTATGATCAAGGGGAAAATAGAAAATATATCAGGAAGATATAACACTCATCAACATATACTCACCAAATGAAGGAGCACCAAAATATATTAGACAATTATTATCAGCTCTGAAAACAGACATTAAAGAAAATACACACATAGTGGGAAACTTTAACACCCCACTCTCAGCAGTGGACAGATCAACGAGACAAAAAATAAACAAAGACACTAGAGCCCTAAATAAAGACATAGAACTCATGGACTTAACAGACATCTATAGGACACTGCACCCAAAAAAATCTGAGTACACATTTTTCTCAAGTGTGCATAGATCACTCTCCAGAATCGATCACATACTGGACTACAAGACAAACATCAACAGATTCATGAAATCAATATCATTCCAACTAACTTCTCCAATCATAAAGGCATCAAGCTAGAAATAAATCATGAAAAGAAAACAAGGAACCCTCCCACTTCATGGAGATTGAAATCCACACTACTGGAAGACCATTGGACTAATGAGAAGATCAAAGAAGAAATTAAAAAATACTTTGAGTTGAATGACAACGAAGACACCACTTTCCAGAATATATGAGATGCAGCAAAAGCAGTAATAAGGGAAAATATATAGCAATACAGGCTCACATCAACCAACAAGAAAGAACTTAAAGAAACAACCTAATCTCACATCTCAAAGAGCTAGAAAAAGAACAACAAAAAAACCCTAAAGACATTAGAAGAAAGGAAATAATAAAAATCAAAGCAGAAATTAATGAATTGGAAATTTAAAAAACAATCCCAAAGATCAATGAAAACAAAAGTGTGTTCTTTGAAAAAATAAACAAAATAGACAAACCTCTAGCCAGGCTCAAAAAATAAAAACAGGAGAAAACATTATAAATAGGATTATAAATGAAAGAGGAGAAATCACAACAGACACAGTAGAAATCAAATAATCAGAGATTACTATGAACATTTATATGCAAACAAATTCAACAACCTAGAAGAGATGAACAAATTCCCAGAACGATTTAATCATCCAAAGCTTGACAAGGAAGAAATAGAACAACTAAACAGACCAATTACAAGCAGCGAAATTGAGGCAGTAATCAAAGCACTCCCCAAAAACAAAAGCCCAGGCCCAGACGGCTTTACAAATGAATTCTACCTAACATTCAGCAGTGAATTAGTGCCTATCCTACACAAACTCTTTCAAAAAATTGAAAAAGAAGGAATAGTACCAAATACGTTCTATGAAGCAAACATTACACTAATACCAAAACCAAACAAAGATAGCACCAAAAAAAAAAAAAAAAATTACAGGCCAATCTCCCTAATGAACACTGATGCAAAAATCCTCAATAAAATTTTAGCTATCAGAATCCAACAATGTATCCATAAGATAATTCACCACGACCTAGTAGGATTTATTTCAGGGACACAAGGATAGTTGAACATCTGAAAATCAATCAATGTAATCCAACATATCAACAAATAGAAATATAAAACCCATATGATAATATCAATAGATGCTGAGAAAGCATTTGACAAAGTACAACACCCATTTTTGATAAAGGCCCTTGAAATACTTGGGATACAAGGAACATACCTCAACATCATAAAGGCCATATATAACAAGCCCATATCATTCTCACTGGTGAGAAGCTGAAAACATTCCCATTAAGATCTGGAACCAAGACAAGGATGTCCTCTCTCATCACTGCTTTTCAACATAATATTGGAAGTCCTAGCCAGAGCAATTAGACAAGAGAAAGACATACAAGGAATCCAAATAGGCAAGGAAGAAGTCAAAGTATCACTATTCACAGATGATATGATAATATTCATAGAGAATACCAAAAACTCCACAGAAAGACTAATTAAACCAATCAATCCATTTAATAAAGTGGCAGGATACAAAATCAACACAAAAAAATCAGTAGCCTTCCTATACACAAACAATAAATCTGAAGAAGAAGAAATCAAGAAAACCATTCCTTTTATTATTGAAACAAAAAAAATCAAATACTTGGAAATAAACCTAACAAAAGAGGTAAAAACACCTATACAAAGAAAACCATGAAACATTGTTAAAAGAAATAGAAGAAGACACAAAGAAATGGCAAGACATCCCCTGCTCATGGATTGGAAAAATTAACATTATCAAAATGGCCATCCTACCAAAAGCAATCTACAGATTCAATGCTATTCCAATCAAAATTTCAAAGTCATTCTTTAAAGAAATAGAAAAAATATTGATGAAATTCATATAGAGCCACCTAAACCCCAAATAGCCAAAACCCTCCTGAAAAAAAAGAAGGGAATGGCGGCACCATACTCCCAGACTTCAAACTATACTACAAAGACATAATAATCAAAACTGCATGGTATTGAAACAAAAACAGACACATAGACCAATGGAACCAAATAGAAAACCCAGAAATAAAACCACAGATTTATGGTCAACTAATCTTTGACAAAGGAGCAAAGAATTTGCACTGGAGCAAAGAAAGTTTGTTCAATAAAGTGCTGGGAAAAATGGGTCGCTACATGCAAAAGAATAAAACTTGACTACTACCTCACACCATGCACAAAAAACAACTCAAAATGGATTAATGAACTAGACATAAGACATGCAACCATAAAATATACATGAGGAAATATAGGCAAAACACTACATGACATGCATCTCAAAGACATCTTTACAGACACATCACCCAAAGCAGTGATAGTGAAGGCAAAGATCAACAGCTGGGACTACATCAAATTAAAGAGCTTCTGCACAGCAAAAGAGACAATAACCAAAACAAAGAGAAACCCCACCGACTAGGAGAAAATTTTTGCACACAACACTAATGATAAAGGACTGATCACAAAAATCTACAAAGAGCTGATGAGACTCAACAAAAACAAAGAAAATAATCCAGTCAAAAAATGGGCAGAAGAGCTAAAAAGAAACTTCTCCAAAGAGGAAATGCAAATGGCCAAGAGGCATATGAAAAAATATTCAACATCACTTGTAATCAGGGAAATGCAAATCAAAGCTACAATGAGATACCATCTTACACCAGTGAGAATGGCACATATTAAAAAAACTAGCAACAACAAATGTTGGCGAGGATGCGGAGAAAAAGGAACTCTCCTGCACTGCTGGTGGGAGTGCAAACTGGTCCAACCACTATGGAAAGCTGTGTGGAGATTTCTTGACCTACTAAAGATAGAGCTTCCATATGATCCAGCAACTCTACTCCTAGGTATTTACCCAAATGACACACAAACATTAATTCAAAAGGGTACCTGCACCCCTATGTTTATAGTAGCACTATTTCCAGTAGCTAAGCTTTGGAAACTACCCTAACGCCCAAAAATAGATGACTGGATCAAGAAGATGTGATGTAGGGCCTCCCCTGGTGGCGCAGGTGGTTGATTGCTGCGCTGTGAAGCTGTCCGCAGCCTCTGCAGTGCCGATTCGATCCCATCTAGCCGGCGAGGGTTCCACCTGGCACAGCAGACCTCTCCTGTCATGCCCGCTGCTCCCCTCAGCAGTGTATTTCATCAGTCTGCCTGTTCTGTTCCCTGCTCTGTCTCTGGTGAATCTTCTCACCCTCCCACACATCTGGCCTGTACCCTGGCTCTTGTACAAATAAATAAATTAATTAAAAAAATAGAAGATGTGGTATATATACACAACTGAATACTACTCAGCAATCAAAAAAGATAACTCATGCAATTTGCAATATTGTGGATGAAGCTGGAAGGGATCATCCTCAGTGAAATAAGCCAGAAAGAAAAAAGAAAAATACCAGGTGGTCTCACTCATCACAGGAATCTAGAAAAACTAAATAAGGGACTAGGAAAAAGAATAATTATAATAAAGAAAAAATCAAAATCAATATCAACAAGCAACTATAAACCAGAGACACACTATGGGGTGGGGGAGAGGAGGGATTGGGGTCAAAATAAGGGACATGCAATTGTATGGGGAATATAAAAAAAATCTTAAAAAAATTAAAAAAAAAAGAAAACAGAAATTCACTTGAAATTAAAGTAAGCTCTTTCTGCACAGGGCATTTGTCTGTTTGTTCACTTCACTATCCCTAGCATCTAATCTGTGCTCTCCAATACCATGACCACCAGTCATCAAGTGATGACTGTTTAAATAAACATCTAAATAGAATTAAAGGAGAAGCTGCTCTTGTGTCACTTCAAGTGTCTGATAGTCACATATGTTTAGTGGAACAGAGAAAATGCAAACACTCAAGATTAGGACAGGGAAATTCAGCCAGTACTCAAATGATGGACACTTTCTAAACCTGACACGGTTTCATAGCATCTTACATACCTGGAATGACCAGCTTTTCAAAAACACTCCTAACTGCTCTTCCTATAAAAATCCTAAACAGTTGTACCTCTACAAGTTAGAAAATGGTTCATACAGGGAAGAATGCCAATTTCATAGTCCTTAAATCCTAAATCATCACCATGCCTGAGAAGAACAAACTGCAACGTAGTGTAACTCTTTCCCCTATTACCTCCCGCACAGACCCATGGACCAGAGTCCCTAGAAAGTCCCTGGACTGACCTGTCCCGTCTATTCCCACCACCGTTTGACCTTCAGCTCCAACTCTGGAGTCCGAGGACCAGGCTCCTTCCCCTGCGCCCTCCCCATGTCCTTCCCCTTGCCCAGACAGCACCCGGGGGCTCAGCTCCCCAGAGCTCAAACTGCCACCCTAGGGTCTGGCTCCCGCCCCGCCCCCTACACTGGGCCACTGGGACCGTTGAAAGGGGTGGGGCCCGGAGCCTCCCAGAGAAGGTCGCCAAGGGTGGGCAGAAGCCAGCCCCGCCCCAGCCTCAGGCCCAAACCCACGCAGCCCATCCCACCTCCCCAGCGCTGGGAGTTTACTCAGACCCACCAGCTCACCTCCTACTGCCGGCCCCATCCCCAGGAGCACTCGATACTCTGATACCCCGCCGCCTTAGCTAAGATCTTAGAAGTATCAGTGCTCCCCGGTGGCGCAGCGGTTGAGCGCTGGGTTGCGAAGCTGTCCGCAGCCTCTGCAGCGCCGGTTCAATCCCTGCTGCTCCCCGGTCACCGGAGGAGGGTCCCGCATGGCGCGCAGACCTCTCCTGCCACCCGCTGCTCCCCTCAGCAGTGTACTTAGGTCCTTCTGCCTGCTCTGCTCCCCGCTCTGGCTCTTGTGAATCCTCTCACCCTCCCGCGCTTCTGACTGTACCCAGTGCATGTATAAACAAAACAAACAAACAAGCCAATAAATAAATAAATAAAACATGCCTCTATTAAAAAAAAAAAAATCTTAAAAAAAAAAAAAAAGTATCAGTGCGATTCATGCAATAAGGTCTGTCCCAGCGCAACACAACCTTCTGAGGCCTGGGCTGGTGTTCTTACCGTTTTAAATTCCCTGTCACATATTTTTGAATGAATGAAAAACTAAAGGAATGTTCACATGAATAGATTTTTTATGATATTGTGTGAGTGTAATCATAAAAGTGAATGTAACTGATTTCAAAAAAGTGTAGAAATACACCAAGTTTTACATGTTCTTGTCCAATGGGAGGGTGAGTGTAAACAGGGATGTGGGTAAAAGAAGACTTGTATTTTCCTCACTCTGTTCAACTATTCCTTGAGTCTTTTACAAAACGAATGCATACAGACATTATTTATACAATAGACATAACCAGACTTCTCATTTCTGGCCCAGCATGTGAGGAGCTTAGAAGTCATTGTTCCACCATAATGACAAGCTGAACAAACTGAGGAAGTAGCCACACTCCTTGGTCCATCAGGTAAATGAGGTCACAGGACAAACCACTGCCCCATAAGTGGAGACAGAGAGGCCTCTGGAGAGAATCCCAGGTACTAGAACAGAAACTCACAAGCAGTGCCAGGGCAGAAAGCCTGTCACTGATAAATTACCAGACATGCAGCGTGGATGAGTGTGATGGTCAAAAACTCCAGGAGACAGAGTCACTGGGCGCTCGCGCTTTTTGTGAATTTCATCTCCATAGACTCCACCAGGACTTCACAGTAAAGATTGAAGAATAGTTCCCTGTGCTCCTGGCAGGAGGAGGGAGAAAAAAACTGACTTTGAAATACTAGGGTAGGGCCTCCCTGGTGGTGCAAGTGGTTAAATCACAGCACTACGAAGCAATCTGCAGCTCCTGCAGCACTGTAGGAGTCCGATCCCTGGCCAGGGAGCTACCTACATGGTGCGGCAGACCACTCCTGATTTGCTTACTGCTCCCCTCAGCAGTGTATCTCAGTTAATCTGCCCGCTCTGTTTCCCACTCTGTCTCTGTTGAATCCTAAAGAAATACCAGTGTACTTTGTTCTTTTTATCAAGGCCTATACTCAGGGAAAATAGTTAACCAGAGCTTCACCTGCCAGAGGTCAACCAAACCTAACCCAGCTGGGGAAGTGAAATAGACATCTCCAGCCCCTGTGGCCATCCTGCCCCACCTGAGGGTGGGGGCTGAGCAGCACTGGTAAAAAGTTCACAGTGCACGGGCTCAGGCTCACAGGAATACAGGATGCCTCTTCTCTCCCACACCTCACCACGGCATTACCAAAGGCTTCTTTCCTGGGCCCTTTACCCTGTGTGCCCTGTCTGACTACCGAGCAAAACTACCTACCAAGAGAAAAGATTTAGTAGAAGACATGATAACACAGCTTGAAGAGACAGTGTAAGCATCAGCACCAGGCTCAGATATGTCAGAAATGTTAAAGTCATGAAATCCTAGAATTTAAAGCAACTGAGAGTAATATCCTGAGAAAATAATGGAAAAAGTAGATAATAAGCAAGAACAGCTGGGCTTTGTGAGCAGCGCAATGTAAATTCTAAGAATGAATTAAAAAAAATGCCAGAAGACAGAAACATGGTAACAGAAAAGAAGGAACATTTAATGGGTTCTTCAGTAGAAAGGACACAGCTGAGGAAAGAATCCTTGAGTGTGAAAACATGACAGTAGTGAATTCTAAAACTGAAATGCAAAGAGAAATATAGATTGAAAAACAGAAACAAAATGAGACTGACAGTGCAAGCACTGAAGGACCACTACCAGCGCGAATCATTCACAATGGCATTCTCTGACAGAGAATAAAGAAGAGAAAGATGATTGAAGCAATAATGACTGAAAAATTCCTCCAAATTAGTGTCAGACACCAAACTACGGACCCTGTTAACACAGAGAAGCTCACCTAGGAGGAAAGTAAAAAGAATTATATTTGACATCTCTAAACATTATGAAAGTTAGAAGAGAATGTCATGAAATATTTCAAGTGTGAGAGAAAAATGCCAAACCAGATTTCTGTACTCTGAGCAACTTCCTTCAATGGTAAAGGAGAAATAAAATCTTTTCTCTAACAAAAATGAAGGGAAATTGTTGTGAGTTTATATGCCTTCCAAGAAATGTTCAAAGAAATTCTTCAAGTAGGACAATGGCCCAGGACAGAACATCATTCTCCATGAAGAAAGCGGGAGATTCTCAAGGATGAGAAGTTGAAGGTGGAAGTTAAGGCTCTTTGAACTGACCTCGCAGATAGCAGTTTGTTCAAAGTGATAACAGCAGCCACATCTATATAGACACTTCTGTATGTATATAGACTGGACACTGATGAGCTTTCTTTCTGGCTTCTCTCTAGCTTTCTATCTGGGCTTCTCCCTCTCAGCACCCTGTCATGCTATTGGCTTCTCATACTGGTATGTATGTGTAGAGACTATGTGTGGGTATATACGTGCACATGTGTATAGACTAAACTCATGTATATATGTATGTGTACAGGCTTATGTATGTATATGACTAAACACACTCTAGCCCTACAGTCTAGCAGTTGTGCTCTTTGATACTCAATGAGCTGGTGATTTTAGCATCTTAGTTCATAACTGCTTACACTTGGAAGCAACCCAGTAGGTGGTGCATAGACCAACTTTGCTAACTCCACACAGTGGTACATTATTCCAGCACAAAAAAGATATGTAGGAACCAGTCATGAAAAGAAAGACGGAATCCTCAATGCATATTAATAAGGGAAAGCAACTATCTCAAAAGGTGAAACTTTGAACTGTTTTAGACCCTCCATTTCAATTTGTCTATTGAGTTTTATATTTATAATATCTCAGTAGTTTTCATTGCTCATGTTACTGTAACATGTGTATATAGCATTTCATAATATATTTAGAATTTAATATTTTACCACCTCAACTTAAAGGTAGAGTCTATGACCATGTAAACACATTTACATGGTGTCTGAGTGACACTGTCCTCTATAGTGACACTGTCCTCCGTTCTTTCAAAACCTGTAAGGAAATGTTATAATCTTGATTTTATTTTATTTTTTTTTATTGATTTAATACATGCAACTTGAGAGAATGAACAGCAGAAGGACCGAAGTCTGCTAGGTCTGCGCGCCATGTGGGACCCTCCTTCATGTCGCAAGCCATCAACCGCTGCCCTATCTTGATTTTAATTAACTTATGACAAACTCTTAGTTTCTTTCAGTGACATTTTCTATTTGCCTCATTCCTGCAGGAATTTTTTTAAAGATTTATTTATTTCTGCGTACAAGAACTGGGGTACAGGCCAGAGATGTGGAAGGTGAGAAAATTCACCAGAGTCAGAGTGTGGAGCAGAACAGGTAGATTGACTGAAATACACTGCTGAGTGGAGCAGCGGGAGAGTCAGGAGAGGTAGCTCCCTGGCCCGGGATCGAACTCGGGCTGCATTGTCAGCGGTTAGCTTCATAGGTTGCATCTTAACCCCTTGCACCACCAGGGAGACCCCTTCTGCAGGATGTTTTTACTCAATATGGATTTCTATTTGGAAATAAAAATTTTTTTTCCAGCATAAATTATATTCAATAGTCTCCTGACCTCTATGATTAATAAGGTACATGTTAATATTCCAATCACAGTTCCTCTATGAGTAATGCCTTATTCCCCATGCCACCCCTGGTTGTTTTTTTTTAAGATTTTATTTATCGGGCCTCCCTTGGTAGCGCAGCAGTTGAGTGCTGGACTGTGAAGCTACCCGCAGCCTCTGCAGTGCTGGTTGGATCCCCGGCTGCCAGTGAGGGTCCCACGTGGCACGCAGACCTTTCCTGCCGCCCGCTGCTTCCCTCAGCAGTGTACTTCGTCAGTCTGCCTGTTCTGTTCCCCACTCTGGCTCTGGTGAATTCTCTCACCCTCCTGTGCTTCTGACTGTACCCAGTGCTTGTATACATAAATAAATAAATCTTAAAAAAAATAAAAAAAAAGATTTATTTATTTATACAAGCACATGGTAAAGTTAGAAACGTGGGAGGGTAAGAGAATTCATCAGAGCCAGAGGGGGGAGCAGGACAGGTAGACTGACAAAATACACTGCTGAGGTGAGCAGCGGGCGAGACAGGAGAGGACTGTGCGCCATGTGGGACCCTCGCCAGCTGCCGGGGATCGAACTGGCGCTGCAGAGGCTGCGGACAGCTTCGCAACCCAGCACTCAACCGCTGCGCCACCAGGGAGGCCCACCCCTGGTTTTTTTAAATGAGGATAACATTTCATTGGTTTACATCATTGTTTGTGTATGAGAGCTCTAGGATCTCTCCCTGCAGGTGTTCGTATCACACCACACCCCCCAACATAACACCCACAATCCCCCACCATAGTGTAATATGCTCCTGCTCACTTTGTTCATGCCCCATGCCCCCTTTTATTTTAGTTTTCAAC